ACATGTCTAAAACGTAGTCTTTACATATTTCAACAGAAACATACTATATTATCAGGAAAAGTAAAACAACAAAAAAAATCATACTAATAGTGAAAAAAAGGTATGAACTTGCAATATCGTATTTGTACATGTTAGACTTGGGTCATAAACTGCACACATGACTTTTTCCAGTTTTAACCTACATAAATACACCCCCCTAAAATAAAACATTTTTTATCAATGAGTACGTTTTACAAGATACACAGTGACTTGTTTCCACTTTTAGTAGCAAGTATAGGATATTTTTACAGAAAACCAACATGAATTAAATAAACACTTTTTAAATAAATGTTGTCTTGTTAATCTTTGTCCAAAAGCTTTAATTTTGCTTGTCCAGACAGCCAACTTTTCAACAAGAACTGCATCTTGTTCTGTATTGTATTAATATCTTTAGGTTCTCCAAAGCGAGAAAGTACATTTTTATTTATTTAATTCTTGAATACCTATGTTTGTTAGCATCATGATGATACTTAAAAAAAGCACTTCACACACAGCCTTTCAGATCAAAGATCTTTCAATCAAACATCACTTTGAGAGACATATGTGGCCATATATTCTGAACTTTAATCCCAATACAATATTTAAGGAAACCAAAGAAGAAAATTAAAGTATGTTACAGCAAATGTTTGAGTTATTTCATGAGCAAGTGAAGCAATTCCAGCTGCAAAACATTTGATCCAGCTGCAAAAGGAGGTGCAAGTGCTAAGGAGGTTTCAGTGGTGAAGACAAAAGAGAAATGGAATTTAAAGAATAGTAACAGCAATTAAAAAAACTTCTAATAACAACATTTTATACCCTTAGAAGAACCCCTCCATAAAATATAGCAGGTTTTAAATATATTTTTCTGTAACTAAAGGTCAAAGACACTGTCCTCCAGTAAGTTCTTAGGAATTGAGAACTATTTTCTGGAATAATGTATTTGACAAGTTAACAAACCTATTTTTAACTATGCATATTTAAAAAAAAAAAAAAAAAAAGAAGCAACAGTTGAGAATAAATTCAGAAATATTTTTAACTTTTTCCCCTTCAAAAATTTTAGTGGTCTTGAAATTACTTTAGTGTTAAGGAATTTGGGGTTGTTTCAAAAATTCTATTATTCAAGTTTTAAAAACCTTACCTGTACTAAATAAAATGGGATATAATATTACCAAATAAATTACTAATATTACTAAATAAATGGGATAAATGACTTGAGATGATCATATTAACACTTCAAACAAGAAAGTGTTAAATTAGAGAGCTATGGTTGCATTTGTTTTCTTCAGCACAACTTCTTTCTAGTGGAATTTCACCCATAGTTAAATGGTTTTGACATATGACTAAACTAACAAAAAAACTATAAACCCAACTGCTAGGAGAGATTATAGGTTTTCCAAAGGCCTGTTCAACAAGTAAGCATATGAAGTATTGAGTTTTAGATACACATTTAGTCTGCTTTATTAGTCCTAAGTGCAAGTGAATTAACATTTTTGAAGGTCTTGAAAATGGTTAATTGCTTTTATGTCATGGCAATTTTCTTGGTCTGTGTCCTGTCATGGAACACAGAATTTTTATTAAATTTAGCAATTCTGTCAACACCAAATGCACTTTTACCAATAATAATGTTTTAAAGGGTTTACAAAACTCAAATTATTTTAAGATTAAACAGGTTGCATAGATCCCCCAAGGAGGTTCTAACTTAAGCAACATGAAACCCCTCATGGGAAAAAAAAGGCAATAAGATTAACACATGAAGACACAGTATTTCAATGTAATAAGCTTACAATACTGCAGGATAAAAAGAATGTCTCTGAGAAAATTGTCAACTTAAATCTTAACATAATAAATACTGATTTTACTTCAAGATTTCAGTAGTGCCATTTAAAATGATCTGCAAGACTTCATGACTCTCTAAACGGAGGACAGAAGCAACTCAATAATAAGAGTTTAAAGGCCCTACGTAATTTTCTAAGGGCCGAAATCAACAAAACATATATGGTCTTGTGGAGATACTAAGCCCTCCATTATAGCCACATCACTCCATGATGGCCAGTTTCCTGCATTTTTGGTACTCTTCTGGACACCTACAAGCTAACGGAATATACATTCAGACTACATATTTTTTTCAAGTCATATGAGATCAAAGGTAGAAAAATAATATATTTCATGTCAAAAGAGCTAAAGAAAAATTAAAAGCTGACAAACTTCCTCGGATTTGAAGAAGACTGGGTGCAGAAAGGGATGCTAATTTTTGAAAACAGCAACACAAAGGTACATGGAAAAATTTTTTTAAGAACTGAACTCATTCAGTTCTTAAATATTATATTAAGGAGTAAAAAGCCATCCACCCCTCGAGCATTAGCAGAAGACCTCAATGATTGTTCTTGCTTTTCTTTTCCTACTCTTGACCACTCTCTAGAGAGTATCATTAAGGTTTATCTGCATAGTCTGCTTTCAACTTTTGGTTCCATTTTCAAACATGTTATTTGTGCAAGTTAAAGCAGGACCAAAGCTTCAGAGAATGTTAAATGATATTGTAAAGGCACTAGGTCTTATCCTAGTTCAACAAAAACACCCAAACCCAACCAAAAAACCACAAAAACAAAAACAAACATACAAAAAACCCCAAACAAAACAAAACAAAAAATAACAACGCTGCAGTTTTTCATATTGCAGTCAGAACCATCTTTTCACCATATTTTTATATCCCGACAAATGTCAGCATAAAGTTGTCATTCATCACCTTGGCATTTATTTTGAAAAACAGACATTTCCCAGTTTTTTATTTGGTATTTGCCTATCGCTTACTCTTTAGAGACATGAAAATCTGAAAACAGAAATTGAAAGGAAAATTTCAAATTTTCTGGAAATACCTGTCTAGGTAAGAAACTCCCTACAGAGAGACTAATCTTTTCCCCATGCCTCTACTTCAATCTTAATAAGCTGCAAAATGTTAGGGAAACATTGTCCTGTTGTTCACTACTTAGTACATGATGAAGTCACCTATGCCCATGTAGCTGTACACCTTACACATACATCTATTAAAAAAACCATAAGGGAAGATGTGTGTTCATGGCACTTGACTTTCTAGTGAGACAGGCTGAACTCAAAACTAATTTCCATTGCTCAGAAGATGGCTTGATTCATACCAAACTGCAACTTTCTATCTCTAGACATTCTGACTACAGTCCTGCAAATTAATTTAATGATGTTATGGGTTGACAGATTCTTTTTCATAATAATACAAAAAGTAGTTCTTCTTTCTTCCACTCTTGTTTTAATGCAAATTGTTTAACTGTTTCTGCTGAGACTTACCCAAACAAGCCAATTCACCTGCAAGAACAGTCCAAACTACCTGAAAGGTGGAAGTTTCAGAATATTACGTGTGATTTACCTACGCTTCCTAGGAATACTACTGGTATACTTGTAGTGATATCTTTAAATGTGTACAAAATGGTTTAATGATGACATTTGCACAAGACATTTCTACAAGTAAAAATTATCATTAAACCATTATGAACAATTCAAAGGATGAGTGAAAATAAATAACTAAAATCAGGAACATAATCAAAACTTCTGTATAATTTCTCAGCTATTTTTTAAAATCGATTAATTTTCTGTGAAGCTACAATAAAAGTAAGGACTCACTATGATTCCTGCTACACACTTGAGAAAACAAGTATCACAAGACTGTGGGACAGCCAGAAGAACTAATTATACACAGTTCCCAGACCAACTCTCTGCTGTATCATAATGTGATTTAATATGGCATTTGAAGAAAGAAGACTGTGCAAAACAGCAAGAGAAGTGTTTCTCCAGAGCGTCAGTATGTGTCCTTTTCCTGCATGTAAAAGACATCAGCAGATGTCAGCATACAAATGCGTTCTATCGCAGGGTAACAGTTCATTAGCCTCACCTGCAACGGTGACTCCGATAAGCTTTGCAACACCGAGTAACAGACGGCCCGAACGCTGTAAATATTAATCACGTGTTTCCCACTCATCTGCCCTCCTGAGCGCACGACGGCATTTGCACCCATCAAATGCTACAGAATTTTAACAGTCCGCGTTCCCCGCTTATCTGTACGTACCCCGCACATCAGACTAGAAGAAGAGTTTTAAGAGTCATTTTGCGGCGGAGGGAAGTAATCCAGTAATAATTTACACTAATAGCCCAGACAGGAAAGAGGGAAGGAGGAAAGCTACGGACTTTCTCAGGACTGCAAGAGAAACTAAGAGATCACAGCCCTCGTGATCCCGCATAAGCTATCTAAAAATAACCCCTGAGAGAGCAAACGAGATGCTAACGAGGACTAAAGAGATACCTTCCCGCAGTCTTGAGTTAGTGGGTTTATTTTGTAATCCACTCGATTGCGACAGAACCACTGCGGGGAACGGAGCAGATGGGCAGAGCGGTGGGGAAGCGAACGAAGGAGTAAAGTGTTACCTTGCGAGAAGCAGCGCCCAGGGCTGCGATGCTCCTGCTGCTGTTTCAGGTGCAGGGAAGGATGCCGAGGGCGCAGGATGCCGAGCGGCTGCGGGACTGCAGCTGCCCCGCGCTATTCCGGGCCACCCCCCGCTCCTCCCCCTGACCGCCGCCGCCTCCCGGATAATTCCCGGCGCAGCCCCGCGCTGTGCGCGCGTCCCGGCGGGAGGGGGGGCCGGGGGGGCGTCAGGACTGACAGGCCGGCTGACCAATCGGCGGGCTGCGCGGCAGCGCGCGGCCACTCCGCGCGGGGCAGGGCGCGGGCACGGGGCGGGCCCTGGGCCGGAGGGTCCCGCGGCTGTGGCGGGTGATGGGTGGTGGGTGATGGGTGATGGGTGATGGATGATGATGGGTGATGGGTGGTGGGTGATGATGGGTGGTGGGTGATGGGTGATGGGTGACGGGTGATGGGTGGTGGGTGATGGGTGATGGGTGATGGGTGGTGATGGGTGATGGGTGGTGGGTGATGATGGGTGGTGGGTGATGGGTGATGGGTGATGGGTGATGGGTGATGGTGCCGCCGCTCGGTGTGTCACCGGGAGGGCTCTCCGGCACAGCGGGGGCTAGAGGGGACCTAACGCATCAAGGCGTCCGCCTGCTTATTTCTGTCATTAACTGCCGTTGCATAATCCGTCAAATCTGTTCTGCTCCTGGGTGAGCATCGCTGCCAATCCTGTCGCCACCGCTCAGCCCAGTAATTGCAATACAGCCCTCAAGCAAGCCAGACATAACTCTCAGCTGCGACATTAGAGGACAAGGAATCCTTCACTTTACTCCTAGCGCTGCTTAGAGAGGTAAATCCCTATACAAGCCGCGTTCCTAAACCACCTCATAAGATACCTAGCTATTTCAAAGAACAGGATTTTAGATGGAGCAAGGACATACATAGTTTATTGGTCTGAATGTTACTTTTCTACAAATAATCTTCCTACCACTGTTCTCTGAAAGTTTTCCATTCTGGAGGACACCATAACAAAGGCCTTTGAAACATCTTACTTAGGTAAAAATGTTAGAGACGATTTAAAAGTAACAGAGTTAGAGCTGAAATATTTCTAGTTACTGACACAACTGGGAGAAAGAAATGGTCTTCTGATTCCCATTGGTGTTTAAGACCCTTCTCAGTATTCAAACATTGCACTGTAACTTACAGACTCCTGACAGTGTCACATTGGCTCTGCTTTATTAATTAATTTATTAAATTCTTTATTAGCTCACTGTGCCAATTTCTCATAAACAATTATGATTTTACTGAACTTAAGCAGAAAACATCCACCTTTATTTGAAATACTAGGGAACATCAGACTCCTATTACTTTAGACCACTCACAGCTTCCTTTCCTTTTGAAATCTTAGGAAATTGAGGTTTTCTCTTTTTTTACGTGAGATTTTCTGACTGTGAATTGGGCACCTATACAAGTTCATACTCTGCATATTGAGACGTGTCTGCAGACATGAGAATGGAAAAAACTCTGGCTGAAAGTAAGTCTTGCTCTTCTGATGTTTAGTATTTTCAAACAAAGATTAGCAATTACTTTGTTAGTAACTCCCCTTTCTGCAAGCATGTGGTTTATATGGAGACAGAGTTCACAGAAAGCAACCAACATGAAACGATTATGTAGGCTGCAATGTAGGGCACACTGAGAGCAAAACCTAATCTCTGAGAGGTTTCCACTTCATCTGCACTCATCTGCATAATCAGCTTTTCATCTTGTCGTAGGATAAATGCAACCTGCCTTCTGCTTCATTTACCCTATATAGAACAGTAGTATAGATATGTACGAAACAAGTGTTAAAGAGTTTATGTAGAAATGTATGTGGAAAGGAACTTGAAACCATTCATTTTTAAAAGGAAATTAAAGGTTGGAAGTCATCTATTTGCTAAGTTAATACACTAATTAGAACTGAAAGCTATTCACTACCTCTAGTATGCAAACTGACCCTGCTTTAGATGAAACTTTACTTTCAGCTACCCTTTAATTTCTTGATCTATGACTTTGCGGATTGTAATAAATAATAGTTCTTGCTTAAACTTTTCAGGAGCTTCTGTAAACTGTTAAATTCCAGTGAATAAGCTGTTGAGTGGAACTAGTGTTATTATCACTTAGTTCATCAGGGTGTGGAAGGCTCATACAAGTGAAGACCATCATGGATCAAAGGAACAACTAACAGCCTCCTGTTCAGGCTGCTCCTTTATTTTGAAAAGTATCACCAGAAATCATAGCTAATCAATGAAACACTTAAACAAAAATGTTCTTAGAAGCAATGTCTGATTGGCTTTGATGTCTGGCAGTCTAAGTCTAAACTAAGTTCTAAGGACTAACACTGAGAATACCGGCTGACCAGCTGCATATTTATAATTCTTTCTGCTCTTCTCTCAAAGGATGAATGTTTTTCTGTACTATTGTCAGAAGAATGTTTACAAAAATGTATGCATAACCTCCTAGAGGTACATGAGGAAAACATGAATTGTGATACGAAAAGGGGAGTAGGAAATATATCACAGCTTGCTGCCAAAGCAATTCTTACCAGTCTATTTGCACTTGAAGAACTAAAAAGCAAAATCTTTCATCATGCATAAGACAGCTTTATTTTCCTTTTTTTTCCATGCCCACAGCAAATTCTTATCCCTGAACAGGTGTTTCAGTCTTTTAATATGTTTATTTTCTTGTCTTAAAATTGCACATCAGAGCTGCTACTTCAGTAAAACAGGGATATAAGATTTAAATATTTTCATCTTTAAATGAATACTTCTAATTCTCAATAAATTCAGCTCTGTAATGCAACAGTTCGTTGCCTACTCATATTTGCATGGCCACTTTTGAACCCAAAAGAATTAAATCTGCTCCTGAGTTGTTTAGAAACATGAATTGAATGTATTCATGGCATAGCATATATGCCCAGTACTCTTTATTCTTCAGTTCCTCCTCCTGCACCCAGTCAAATCTCCCTAGTGTCATCTTCTTTAGTCCATAACATCCCATGCCTTGGAACAGCAACATGAGCCATCATTCCAGGAATCCCATGCACTAACTACTACTTCAGATTGTAATTCCTTCTGTCCCCACTACCAGTTGTTTGGTTTCTTTCTCATATCAAAACTCAGTAGAGACTCTGCTCAATAATAATGAGAACAAATTGTAAAATTTTATTGAATCCTTAACAGGACCAATTACAATTCTGGCATAATTGTCTGGCATAATCGAACAGACAAAACCCCCCCCCATCATCTAGTTAAGTGTAAGACACCATCTGTTTTCTTAAAAATTATTAAAATTAATAAAACTTGACTTGTAAGACTTAGATTAATCTGTATCTTCATACAGAAAAAAGTCAATAGTACTATTTCTATGAACAAAATAAATGAAAACATGTTGGAATGCATTTTTTAAATGGATTGGATGGGGGTTTTTTGAGCACTGCTTTTTTTTTTTGTCTCAGTAATATATACTGCATTTTGTTAATTTGGTTTATTCATAAATTCTTGACCCAAAACCAGCTAATACAGAAATATTATCGTTTACATTAGCAGTCCATTAGTCATACATCAATATCAAAGATTTTATCCTAATGAGAAATACAGATTTGCTCATTTCAAATTATACCACATCACCCAAAGTAACTTTGGCCAAAATGGCTTTCTGTCTGATTAATAAAATGGAACTTCAAAAGACAGCAGAGGAGAATCTTTGGAATCTTCAAAGTCCTGAAAGTATAAGACTTTGAAATGCTGCCAACTCTTGTTATTAAATGACCTGATTTTGGACAGTAGCGAAGCCAACCTTCCACAAAAAGCTAGTGTGTGTTTGCAAAATTCTGAGAGCAGGGTGAAAAATTACTTATATTTATGGGAAAGGAACATAATCAAGATTGTTACAGAAAGCAGATAAAATGTTACAGAAAAGGTAATGCAGAAGATCTCTCTGGAAATGAACACGTATTTGAGTGACTAAAACATTGCTAAAGGTGAAGTAGTAGGATCAGTTTCATCAGTGCATTTCATCAGTTCTCTGACAGGCTTAAGTGCAAGAAAAAATTAAAGGAACTGTGCAATTAAAATTTGAAAATAAAGGAATTATACCAAGAAAAAACTCACTTCATTCACATACTGTATTCTGGAAACAAATGTATGGAAATTTCAAGTATTCTCTGATGATTATAAATATAGGCTATTTGTCTGTTATGGTATTGTAAAGAGGAGGAGTTTACTGTTTGGCCTATACTACATACCAACAAATTTACGTGAAGCTATTACACCATCAGATCTTTATAAAATCAATAAAGCTGGCATTATTTCTTCTCATGCAAACTAAACACTCAGATTATGAGAAAAGTGTGTGTGTGTATGTTTATGGTATTAAATACTTTCAGGGAAAGATTAATAGCAACTGTAGATACAGCCATTTATTGAGTCTAGTAGTGGAATTCTGTTCCAAAAAATAAAAATAAAAAATGGGATAGAATATCATGATAAGATATATGTATCATTTATACGGTTTATATCATTTATATGGTTGAAAGATTGTGGAGACAAATTGCCCTCAGAAATGGTCTTAAGGATAAAAGAGTCTTGGGACAGCAGAAAATCACCACTCCTCTCTCTCTCACCCTGCCTACACTCCCTGTCTGTCTGTCTCCCTCTCTTCCAGGCACATCTGCTGTTTTAGTCATGAGTGATTTTAGGATCAAACATAACAACACAGGTGTATTTCCCCAAGCAGAAATGAATTCAGTTTGCATAGAGATGTTAAAACTTATAACTAAAAGCCTAATTTCAGTATGGTGAAAGGTAACATTCAAATAAAAGCTACATGGTACACAGTGAAGAGCACTAATGGAAAGTCTGTTGGTTTCCATGTCAGTCTCAGCACACTAAACTATATGCTGATAAAAGCAGCTATAAAGCAATTCAACTTCTGTCTCGATTATCCACTGTAGCATTTTTGTACTTGATGTATATGCTACAGTTTAATATTTAAGAAGTCAGGAGAGAAAATAAGGAGGGTAAAACAATAACAAAAGCTTACTCAACAGATACAGTGTTTCTTAAAAATCCTTAAGGGGAGAAATAATCTCAATGAATCAATGTTTTTAATACAAAACAACAGGTGGTTCTGTGTAATAAATAAAAACACAGGAAAACAGGCATTTTTTTTTAATCTATATCAAAGGCTTTAAACACATTTTAAGCAGATGCAGTTAAGCAACAGTAGAATTAATTAGATACAAAATTAGAATTCCTCAGGGCTAGTAGTCTGAAAGAAAAGTTTGGGGAGAAGAAGAAAAGCAATATATGCACAAAAAAAAAAGTCACGCCTTTTGTAAAATATGTATGTTGAGCAGCCTTGTGTGAAAATAATTAGGAAATAAATTCAGAACCATACAACAGTTCTTGCAACTCCTCTGAAGATAAACAAACTTATTTGGACTGGTTTTGGTAGTCTGAAAGTGCTTTGCAAAATATAATTATGCTATTACCTTGTAAGAATCGCAGTTTCACACTTTGATGAATCAAGGAACATTCTGAGGGAAAGTTGTTTCTCTAAGGTCACCACAAGTAAAGGACCGAGATGAAAAACATCCAGTTATCTACATATATTGCAACAACAGACTAGTACTTCTTCCTATATGATGCACAAAAACCTTATTCCAAACAGTGACAGGAGTAGATCACAATGTAGTGCTTGCAGACACAATTAGCTACTAAGTCTGGATATAGTCTTCATGAGAAGTTTTTTGCTCAACTTATTCAGAATAAAAAAAAAAGTCACACAGTCAGCTGCTCTGCAGACACTCAATATTTGGAAGGAGAAAAATACAGATAACCTTTTGTGATTTAAGCACTTCATAAATTGATCATGTGAGTTTGACATTTCTCATAAGAATTTTTAGCTTAGAACAAAAGTAACTTTGTTTACTGAAAGATACTAAGAAATATATTATTTGCAACAACCATTTATGTAATCTCACCAAAACAAAATCCCAGTTCAAATGCTTCAGACATTTAACTACTGTATTTCTTGAAATTTTGTCTCTAATTTGAAGTTTTTGTGACTGTCTGATGCTGACCAGACTTGGCATGCTCTGCTTTTTTGTAGACAGTGTGCATGCCAAGTCTAAGGCAACAAAGAGCAACACAATTAATACTCCCAATTATTCCAGGAAGAGGACTCACATGTAGCAGTGGTATTAGTCTTTCAGATGCTACTTATTCTACCTTCAAATTCTTAACAGAGGGAAGCTTTGTAATCCTAACAGATGTGAACGCAATGGTTACAATGTTAAATAGGATAATCTGCTGATCAGTCATCAGACTGACTTTGATAAAATTTAGCTTTAGCTTCCTGGTTGTTATTTGTTTGCATATAAAAATAGGAATAAATACAGAAATGACCCTTAGCCCTAACTAAGTGATTTTCTTTCTAGTGCTTTCATGAGATATGGTGAGCCTCAGACCTTTGTAATTAGTAAAATCACCAAGTGCACATTTCTTTTTTAATATACAGAGATTAATTGATGCTTTTCTTCTTAATAAAAAACTGCTGTAATTATAATTTGGTCATGAGATCTTTATTTTAAATTTCCTGAAAGTGTTACATAGGAGGAAGTTTGTTGTTTTTTCAACAGTGAAATAAATAACATTTAAAGCTGCACCCATTACTGCTAGATTTCTAGCACAAACAAAGGCAGGAAAAAAGTTTATTCATTTGTTTCTGGAAATTATCAACATCAGGGAGAAAAAAGTAGAAAAAAGACGCAGAGAAGGAGAAAAGAAAGGGAGAGATAAGATAGCAGAGTCAAAACACTTACTACTAACAACAAAAAATTTGTTCATTTGCTGGGAATAACAAATATAAAGCAGTAATATGAGTAACCCTAGAATCTGACTTCTCAAAAATGAAGATAATTAAAATCTTAAAGCAGAAATCTTTGTGAACTTGGCATATGAAAGCTGCACAGATAAAAAGTTTCATTTAAAATTGCCATAAAGACCTCTTCATTCAAACTGAAGCAAAGCAACAATTTATAAAGCTATGACTGTAGACGCATCAGATGTCACTTGTGCATAACTTTGCATCTGTTTACACTTACTGGCAAGCAGGTTTTTTTTTTTAAATAAGTCTTTGCACTGCTCCAAATCCACAGTTCATTGCCATCAGCACTGGAAACTTTAGAAAAGTTTGTACTTTATAACTGCAAACTGGCTATAGAACTAAGACTCAACATTTTTTACTACAGGTCTTTTTCTGTCATGTGGGCAGATACCACAGGAATGCTTTTCTGCTGATCATGGTAAACCTAGTTCCATTTTAACCATTTGAAACTAGCTCAGTTTTTATATTGCCTTGAGGGAAGCCTTTCAAGCTTACTGGTGTCAAGACTCAAATTGTTCTCAGCTATGTCATAATACCTTTTTCAGGAGTGCACACAAAATTTTACACATCCTGAAAAGAGATAGCTTCATTTCTACTTTCAGGAATAAACATGGTGGTATTTACATTCACTAAACTTTCTTCTGTAGGAATGGGATTGATCCTGATTTCTAAACATCATGATTTTGTGAAGTACTAAACATATCCAACTTTCTGGGAGACTGCAAAGCAGTTGATTCTGAGTGGATAAATGGTCCAAACATCTATCAAGGTACCTAAAAATATGTTGAATGTTTTCAGTAACATTAATTTAAAAGCTACGTAAATTTTTCACAGGGCAAGAAAGCCAATATCTGAATGAATTCGTTTACAAGAAAGAAAGAATAATATAATGTCTTAGCAGCAAAATTTAAACATAAATATTCATTACGCTCCATACTTTGCTTAGGGTTTTCTTCCTTTTAGTTTCATATCAATTATTCTTATCATAAAGGAGTGGAAAAAGTGTGAATTTTTAAGTCAAGTAAATTCTTTACAAAATAAGAACTCTTACCTACTGCTACTACTTTTAATTACATACTATTTCCTTGACAAATTTTCCATCAGGCCATGCTACAATAAATTCTAGAATCTAAAACTGACTTCAACTATCTCAAAGTTCAAATGTTTGACAGATTGATCACAAGTTGGTCACTGAAGATACTAATGAGTTTTTCTTTTTCCTATAATTTTTTTAAAACACTGCTCTCCAACTTTCATTCTGTTAGATCAGCTACAATTCCTTCATCTGTATGCCTAGATGTAAACCAACAGCAGAGCATTCCAATTCAAAAGAATTTCTAATGGAATTGGAATTTGGTGTTATTAGTACTTTTCTGATGACTACATGGAAGCATACAACAGGTTTGGTAACACTAATTAGAGCTTTTAAAAGTAACCAAGTTTCTAATTTCCATTATTTCAGTGTAGACTCATTTTACAATATGTTTAAATCTGAATAATGTACATCTCTCTGGAATCTTTTCTAGATATTTCATAAGTTGAAAAAGAGACAACAAATGTATTTCTTCACAATGTCTTTATTTCATTATGTTACTATCAACTAAGTTGACCAAGACCAGACTAGTAGTTTCTTTGTACAAGTTCTTCGTATGTGTTGGACTTTTCAGTTTAAAAAGAAAAATGGCAAAACTAGATTCTTAGCTGACAAAAGCACACTAACTGCATGAAGATTAAAAGATTGGATGCACAAAGTAAATCATCTAATCTATTATTATTCTTCTTCCAGAATTTCCTCAGATTTTTCTTAAGTAGACTCACTCATTGTCAGAAACTCTTCAGTGTCAAAACCTTGAATTTAAGACGAAAATTCTTCTCTGCATTCTACAGTTACTTGAGATACTTGTATGCAGAGGCAAGAAGACTTTGTTTGCATTGACTTGTATTTGGAACACTACTTTCAAAATATTGTCCTTATCCTATGAAAGACAAAGTTCTGCGAAAATAGTGGTCTGTCCTCTCCCTTCCTTGGAAAGCTTTCTCTTCCTCAATGGAAACTAACAAAGTGTATTATATCATACTCCCTGTGCTCTCTGATGCTGGAAAATCCTAGAATATGTTCATCTGTATTATTTTACATTCTTTTAAATATTCTTCTAGAGCCTCTTTGATGTTTTTCTTAAAACCTTCTTACTTTATTTTAAATTGTTCCAAAAAAAGATGTCATGGAAGTTATACGTCCTGATGTGACTTCAAATTACTGTTCCTAATATTTGAAACTACCCATTCCCCCATCTCTAGACTTGGATAAATTTTGTATCTTTTTGAAGTGATATTAATCTTTGGATGTGGAAAGCACTGAAAGAGTATAGTTTCTGTGATTTAAGTAACATTTTTATTAAAAAAAAATAGTCTTCTAGTTTTTCTACATTTCAAATGTAGGCTTATCAACAATAGTACACCTATCTACTTCAACTCTTGCTTATAAAACAAGATACTGACATACCTTGAAATATGCTCAGTAAACAACAGATTTAAAAAATATTAAAAAGCTAAAAGGTTTATTTACATAATATTTGCATGTAGGAAAAACTCTAAGAAGCTTTGCTTTGATGGTGGGAGAAAGACAGTAAGTGTAAAATTTAGCCTTTGCAACAGGATGTAACTTTGAGGTAAGCTAAATCTGTAGATGGTTGGTAAGAGTATGCTTTGTCTATGAGTAGTAAAAGTGAAAGAATAAACTGGAAGTGCTTGAAATTAATTGTTATGAGCAAATGGGCTCACATGCAGAAACATTCCCGATAGCAGTTCTTTATTAAGAATTTTAAAAGAGCACAATGGATATCATGGGATAAAAGGCATACACTGAAAGGGAAAAAGAACATATTTTACTCCCACAGGCCAGTTATTTCCTCAGAGTTCATGGTGTAATATTTATGTACTTAAAGGCAGATCACAGTGAGGGATTGGTCATTAGGTATACCTAATAAGCAGTAGTTTAATCATGTAAAAACATTAGAATAGCAAAATTTTGGGCCAAGATGTGCAACTTAATGGCTCTAATATCCAACTTGGCCCCTGAAAATTGGATTTGAAACCAATCTTTGTAATAACAGCAATCTAACTTATTATCTGAAGTCACTTCCCAGAATAAAGCAGAAACATGTCAAAACTGTGCATGTCATACAGTCACTGAAAGACAGATCACATAGTACTTACAAAGATACAACACTTTTCTTCTATTGTTAAAAACTACAACATAGTAACTTGTTTTTACTGAAGTCTACTTTGCAGGAAATGCCAGGTTAGCTATAGGTGAGCTTCCTTGATTATTAAACAAATTGGGATATGCCCCCCCAAAATGTGCCAGAAGCTTTTAGGAGAATACAATAAGCCATTGACATTTTGAGTGTATTTTTTTTCAGCTGCATGCACAAAAAACTTCTGCATGCATCTTTCAAAGTATTTCCATGTATTAATTGCATAGTTGTAGTTTGATATTCTAGAAAATTCCACAAATTTGCCTCTAGGACAAAAATATTCTAAAACTAATAGCAGAAGCAGGATACCAAAGATGGTTATTTCTGTAAGCACATTATATAGATGTAAGATGCCACAGTATGCAATAGAAAGATCTTTTCTACAAGGAAGTTCTGCATAGGATTGATTAGACTGTCTGGATAAATAAGGTCCTTACAATTTACTGTGAGAAAGACACATGGCAGAAAGACATACAAGGAAGATTACTGAGATACCGTTCGCTGCTTTCATGTTCTACAGAGACTTTGGCATTCCCTGAAATTTAGTTAGGCATCATCCAAAGAAAGCAGATTTGGCTATCAAGTATTTCCCAATGAGTTAAATTTTGTAGACTTCAGACATTGCTGTAAACAAACTGTTAGAAAGTGAGCTACTACTTGGAGAAGTCATTACAAATGACTTTCAAAAAACTCTGGCTGGTTGTTTAAAGACAGTGTCAGGAGCACAACAAATTTTTAGAATTATGGTGCTCAATTGCTCTAGTTACTGCTGAAAAACCCTTTAAATTGGAGTACCAACACATATAATTAAAACAAAATAGATAAAACTTCAAACTTTAAACATATATTGTAAAAGAGTTAGCAACTTCATAAAACTACAGAGCTTGAAAATACAGTTTCCCTACACACTTTCAGAAAAGAGTAAGGTAAATCAAGCTTGTGGGATATATTTGATCAGAAGTACAACTGGGACAATTAAGAAGTAAAGGAATTTAAACCTGAAGTTTTCATCCTCCCAGAACTAATTCTCAACAAGTGATTGTATTCAGATTTACTGTGGAAGACCTGTAATAGAACTACTCAAACAACAATTCACCTTCTGCAAAGAGATGTATGCAAAACTGACAAATATTCATGACCCCAAAAAAACCAGATGTGATTGAATATGTGAAGCTGAATTGTGGCTTAAGGAAGCCTATTTGAAGGTTGAATTGACATAAGGTTCTGAAAATAATGCTTAACAATGGTATGTAAATATAGGTAATAAAAAAGAAAAATACACTTTATGGCTTCATGACATGATACTGTTCACGATTATGAAGGTTCAGATCAAGTTATTTTGTAGCCTTGTTTAACTACAAATTATTACTAGGCTTTGACTTTATAAATTGCCAAACCACTTTTCTATTTAAATCACAAAGAATGTATTTACACTCTTCCAAATCAAATGTTGCACTGACCCTATTTCTGACAGCCTTTTCATTCATATCATCCAAATTCAGTATGATTTGGGAATATTAATAAGAAATTTAATCTCGTTGCCAAAATGAATATATGTTGAATAAATGCACAGCAGTTTTCATACTTTCCCATTAGAAACTGCTTCCAGCCTTCTTGATATTTTACCAAACCCTTTTAAAAGACACCTGCTGAAAGATCCATAATGTATTATAGATTTCTGGAGGTGGTAGTAAAGGGAAAAGAAGTGTTTTTAGTGTGACACAAAAACGTTGTCAAGATAATTTAGACATAGTTTTGATAATATTTATGTGTATAGAGACAGAGAAATGTGTCCAGAAAACAAAGTGCTAGGGGAAAAAAGCAAAACGTCCATATTTTATGACAATTCCATTTAAAGCCATCAAATTATTTATGGAACAAATGGAAATTAGAACAAATTACGATAATTTAAGGCATCCAATAATGATATTTAAATGGCTTTAATAATATATAAATCTTTATGTAATTTAAGATTTGAATATGGTCATTCAAATTCACATTTAATTGTTTTATTTTGTTCATCTCATATTGGAAGTAAACCTCCATGTTCAATTTCTTTTAATACTTTCTAATGTAGCAGAATATGCAAATCTGGTTGTTAGACATTTTATACCCTTGTCCCATATAATTAAAAAGAAAAGTTAACACAGGGAAAGTATAGAAAGTGAAAGAACCTTCCAATAGTCTTCTAATATATAAAATATTAAGTATATCATTCCAGTAGTACTGAACAAGAGGTGACTACAAATACCTAGGTCTTAGTCATTTAAGATTTTATGGATTAAAACTAACTGCATAAGCTCAACCATAGCCCAAGCAGGAAACAAGTGCAGATGGTGTAGTGCTCAGACTATAAACCTGTTAAAAAGCAGATATTCTACCACGGTGTCTCTTACTCAAGTGATCTATAGAAGGGTATATGTAAAGGAAGTAAATCTACAGAGACGTAAATGTTATTTAACTCTTTCATTCATAGTGAAACAGGTTTGTTAATAAATTGTGTGCTGCAGGTAGAAATGAAGTATCTTGTTCCTTTAAATATTCTAATGAGTCATGACCTTGGAAGAACTTATACAAGTGACAAAAGCAGTACTAGGCAGGTGGTGTTGTCACTATCTAAACAGAATAACAGTCTCTTACTTTATCTCCTGCATTGTCTGGAAGCTAAAGAGAAGCAATTCTGCTTGAATAATATTTTGTCAGTTACTACTACAAATCATCATTCTGGGGTCAAAGTTAACAAATTCTAGAAAGTGAGGTGGGTATAGAATAAAAGAGAAGACAAAAGAGCAAATAGAAACACAACCCTGATAGATTCACATATGGCAGCTCACACAACTACCTACGTTTTTCCCATTTGTTAATGTAATATGGAATTTCTTAATAGGTAACCATAGAATGAAGATATGTTAAAATAATAATATGCACATTTGAAAATAATTACTCAGTATGTCTTTATTCTCTTCCAAGTTGTGAATGTTTCAGTGCAACTGGCCACCAAGATACAAATCATACAAATAGAGATGTATTTTAACACAAATCTGAAAGACAAAATGACAATTAAAATGGAAACATTTTCAAATGATACTTGTTCAAATATCCCTGGGAAAAACAGGATGACAACCCTAAGAATTTTTAAGTAATTGAAAATATTAAAAAAATTGCAGTCTAAAAAAGTAATTTGATGGTGCCACAGCAGATTTTTTGAAATGTTTTTAGATTGGGAGGAAGAATATTTCTGCTGTAAAAGAGACTAAAAATTTTAATCTTCCATAAAAATAAATTTGAAATTCTCTTACATTATAAACCTAGAAACAAACCTAGAAACAGGGATATTGATCTAGAAATGGGGAAAGTAAAGTAAATCAATCTTAGCCCCTCACTTAAAAGATGTGATTTTGCTAAAACTGAAATAGGTATAAATCTAGCACGAGTGTAATCAAGAAAAAGAGCAAATATTAAGATTAGGATATTTCAGACAAAGACAAAACAGAAATATCAATTTCATAGAGATCTTAATGCCTAAATTCACATGGTCAGGTATACATGACCTTGCACATGTAACTAGGAGAACATGCCAAAAATTCTCAGATGGTTGGAAATTTAAAGATATGTGCATATTCAGGTCAAGAAGCAATTAGATATTGTCAATATTTTTGCAAGTACAACTCTCCTAAACCTCTATTTTGAAGAAGGAATAATTAAAATCATTAGGACCAATACTGCTTTCTTTGACTGTGAATTGAAGTAAATTCAACATGACAGTTTACAGTATTTAGCCATGACTTTCATTATCTCAAGAATACAGTTAGCATGTAATGTGGAGGTGAAACATCATCCTTATTTACTACTAGTTTTATTTTTGCTCATGAAGAAATCTGCTACTGATTCTCCTTCTCAACTTTCATTGTTTTACAGCATGTTTAAACACCCACTGTACTTTAAATGGAAACACAAAATTATTAACTTTTTTTTTTTTTTTAGAATTTGCAAGGACAGCTAGACACACTAGGATTTT